TGAAAAAAAGTCAGAATTCTGTCATTAAAGTCAGAATTCTGACTTTTTTTCATATTATACTGAAATAAAGTTTAAAAATACATTAATCTTTTTTAGTTTTTCAGTGGCCCTGATTCCTCATTATGAGATGAAAGTCAGAATTCTGAGATTAAGATAGAATTCTGACTTTTCCCATATTATTTAATATTATTTAAATAGTATTTAAAAATCAGTTACATTTTTTTTTTTTTTTTCAGTGGCCCTAATCGCCCTCCGTACATGAAGCCCCCTCTGTTTGCTGTTGTTTCCTCCCTAAACTTTGCTGCTCCACAGCTCCTGAATGCAGCGTCTGGAGTAAACGTGCATCACCTCTCCCATCTGCTGGCGGAGCGCTCCGCGCATGCGCACTGCGGCTCTCCATCATCTCCAATATTCCAGTGTAGGAGAAGCAGCAGCAGCAGAGAACTAATGGGTAGGCTTCTAATTCTTATTTTTCTCCTCATTTTAAACGCCCCCCTCGCTTCTTTCTGTCACTCTTTCAGCAGCGGGATGCACTCGCTGGGGTGTCCGGGTAAGTAGGCTCGCTTTTCGGCCTGGTTTTCCACGGACAGGAGCGTTACAGAGCCCGAAAAGCGTCTCCCTCTTCATCTGCAAACGCAACGGGTTAGCAAGGCTATGAGCTAGCATGCTAAGCTAACGTGCTAACTCGGCCTGGCCCTGGCCTTTCCTTGCCCCCATTTGGCTCGAAACCCCAACTGGGCCCTTGCTTAGATTTTCTTCCTCGATAAATGAGAGTCGGAACCCGGGCTGCGGCTGCCGGACCCCCCCTTCCCCTCCGAACCCGGTTCCGGTTAGCAGATTAAAAACCCAACGGCTGTTAGCTTTAGCTGAGCTCTTCGTCTAGTGCATTTTCCTTACAACAAGCTAGCAGGCTAATAGCTAGCTCTACATAGGCTCCAGAGCAGCAGAGAGCCCCCTGACTGGTCCCAGTCCGCTTTTCTGACATCGAACTGGTTTTACTGGGACCGAACAGACGTTAGAGCAGATAAATAAAGCAGGTTGCTGCTGTTCAGCTTGGCTAAAGCTTTTTATCTCACCTACACTATAGGCTCTGCTTGTTTTGGACATGTACACAGACGTCTGTCATGTTCTCCAGGGTTTGGGGGTAAACTGCTGTCATTTAGCCAACAGTTAAAGCTGTCAGGTTTGACTCTTAAAGCTGCTTGATCTTTAAAATCTTTAAATTTCCCTCAACCTGCTCGGATTGATTAGATTCTGAATATAAACATAGAGCATCTGCATGTTTAGCAGACCATAATGAGCAGCTGATGGTCCTGTAAAGGATGGCTATTGTAATCATTGCATCCATTTGTGTTTTTTTTATTTTGTTTATCAGGAAATAATTCAAAGGGATTTTATGAAAACAAGCAGTTTAATTTCCTATGTGCAAAAATCATCACCAGCTTTCAGACCTTTAGTCACAAAAAGATTATTCTATTGTTTTCTTTTTCATTCTGTTCGAAATCATGAGTGTCAGTGAAAAACAGGCAGCCGGCGTGTTTTAAAAAGCGTAGATATCAGGGTTATTTATGACAATGATATCCGTAAGAAGTTTTCCTCTCCGAAAACAGTAGATCTATGTCAAATATAGATGTTTTCTGCTGCATTTTTCATTTGAAATAGTTGACAGACTAGTTTAATGCTTCACTTTACACCCCAAAGCAAACATTTCTTTTCAACAGATTTGAGACTGCTGAGAATGTTTACTTGTATAATTAAATCAAGCAGGGTGCTGTTTCCCTTCATGCTGCTATGTTGGCGTAATATCTGTATCTCAGACATTTTAAATCCAGAGGATCTTTTCAATTTTTTGCCACACTTTTTTTCTTAAAAGCATAGATTCTTTACAACCTCACCTTGGTTTAGACCAGAGGTCACGGATTAGCGGACCGCGGTCCGGATCCGGACCAACCTGCTGGCTAATCCAGACCCAACCTGATTTAAAACATTTATAAATTACTGCATGTTTTCCGGCGACAATTTCACTTGCACCGCTTCTCCTGTTAATACGGTAAAGCCCTCCGGAGCGCAAATGCCACCTTCAGTGTACTCAAGTCAATCAATTTTCAAATCTCAAATTGATTATTTCCATGGTAGCATAATGATGAGAGTTCTGAACCCTGATGTTCAACATTATAATATACTCAGATGCCAATGGCAAATCCACAAAAGGTGGAAAAAATAAAATAAAATACAAAACCTTGTCAAATACAAGCACAATCTACGAGAACCAGCAGAAGAGTGTTGCAGTTTTTTTTATGGCCACAGGTGGCAGTGTTGTTACTAAACTTAGTAATGCATATTTAAAACAGTGCGGCAAACTATAGAGCAGAGGTTACGGATTAGATTCACTTGTGCCGCTTCTCCTGTTACTATGGTAAAGCCGTCCGGTGCGCCGGGACGAGGCTAACCATGATACAAATTGGCCAATGAGCTGTCAGTCTGGGTTGCTGCTGCTGCTACTTTTAGACACAGCAGGCAAACCTGTGGCAAGCCGGGCGATGGGAAAGAAGGAGAAGACGAGGAGAAAAAGAGAGCAGAGAAAGTGTGGACTGCTGGAAGAACTGCGGTGAACTGGTGAAAGAAAAGTGAAATGGCTTGCTCAAAGATGACCCTGCACATTTAGAGGATGTTTGGCTCAACCTGCTGCTGTGAAGCAGGATTCTCCACCATGAACAGAATCAAAAAGAAATCTGGATCCAGGCTCAAAATGAGCACCTTGATATGTGCTTTAGAATAGCTTTGTCTCCATTTAAACCCAGGTTTAAAAGCCTGCAGGGCAACATAAAGCCCACTGCTCTCATTAAACAATAAAGAAGAGAGAAAAAATAACAAACGATCAGTTCAGGTGTTTTATAAAATATGTGAATCAGAAAATTGTCTATATACCAAACTAAAAGATTGTTGTTCTCTACACAAAATGTTCTTTTTTTTTTTATTTGGAATTTCATTTTATAACATGGATGCATAAAAATCTCATTTTATGTCAGTGTTAAATTCAGTTTAAAGTAACAGATTATAATTAGAAATGTCTCCGGACCTTTACTGGTTGATGATTTTCTTTATTCGGATCCCGCTGATTTTTTATTTTTAATTACCCCTGGTTTAGACAGTAAAAAGTGTAGCGTAGTCTAAAAAAAAAAAAAACCCTGCTGCCTCTGTGACTGTAAATCAAACACTTAGATTAAAGGTGCTTTCCTTACTCTAAATCTTTTGATTTATTTGGCCTTTATTCAGAATGAAAAAGCTAAGAGATTAAATCACAGAGTGCATTAAGACATAAAAAGTCAACCCAAGAGTTGAATTTTATAGGACTCGTCTATTATCCAAAAGGTTTTACAGAACTGCAATTAAACTTTCTCTTTTATTCATTAACACTTTTATAAAAAAAAAAAAAAAGAGCAGAATATCCTGTTTGTGATCTAAATATCTGGTTGGTGGTTACGCTGTTTAGCTGAATCGACACGGGAGGACATCCTTTTCTAAACCATATAAAAACAGCTGTACTCATAGAAAGTGCTAAAAATAGTCCGATGAATGAGGTTCTTCATGATGTGTTTAGTGTCGAAAAAAGAAACAATTTTAAGCACATTTGATTCTGCTTTAGTTGTTAAAGTTCTATATTCATAAGTAGTACGCTGATTATGCCATGCTACAATGATTTATTTTACCGTGTTTAATGTAGAAGATATAATTTTCAGTTTTAATAAACTTGACTTCTATACTGAAGACTTTCTTTTGCAGTAAAAACAGCAACACAGAAAATGTTACTTTAAGATCAAAATAATTTAATGCCAAAGTAAAGGGATGAAACATAATCAGGATAAAAGTCTGAGAAATGTATTTGCCTTTAAAACTGCCTGGTCAACCAAATGGTTGACCATTTGCTCTGCAAAATGCAGGTTGGAGGTTGACAAGGCAGTTAAGGGGTTTGGACATTTTCACATGTGAAGTGCATTTCTCATTAAATATAAATTTTCTACTTTCATTTTCTACTTTTCACAATTCAATTCAGTTTATTTCTATAGCGCAAATTCACAACAGATGTCATCTCAAGGTACTTTACAGTTCACCAGATCATACAGTCAAATTGATTCAAAGTTTTCTATCTATCTACCAGTTCATTGCAACGACTCATTGACTCGAATGCAATCCCTCACACTAAGCATGCTTTTAGCGACAGTGGAGAGGAAAAACTCCCTTTTAACAGGAAGAAACCTCCAGCAGAACCAGGCTCAGTGTGAGCGGCCATCTGCTGAGACCGACTGGGGTTCAAGGAGACAGAAACAGAGGCACAAAAAGCAACTGTAAAAGGCGGCCCCATCCAATTGATTAACTAATAAAAATATATTTGCAGAGGCACGGTAAAAACGGATCAAACCTAAAATTTCAGGCTGATGCGCGTGTTTCTTTAGCAAATGCATAAACTAAATATAGCCGATAAACTATGAGGAATTTCTCAGTAGGTTTCTCTCAGGTCATATTTTGACAGTAGTTACACTAGTGATATATGTACTATAAGTATCCACAATATAGAGTCACTCCTGTCAGACTTTCACTCAACAGTAATGTGTTATCTGTCTCTGATATCTCCACTCTCCCATCTAAACATTATAACCCGAGGTAAAAATGTATGGTTTTTAGCCATTATAAAACAACACACTGGTTATTTTCACACTCCATCAAATTACCGTAGAGGTTACAGAGACATCTTTATTATTCTACATTTCGTTTGAACTAAAATTTAGTGCTATGTTGTTTATTTGTATGCGGACACTGCTAGCAACATGTTGCTAACTGCTTTTGATCAGTTTGGTAAACACAAGCCTGCTTTTATTTTCAAACCATAAATGAACCTTTTACACTAATGCCGTTTCCAGAGAACAAGGAACAGTATGCCAGTTCTTTGAAAGGTATCAAGAACCACCAAAACCTTTGTTCCATTGAACACGTTTTTGGTCAGTGTTAGCCCCTGTTGCTGTGCTCTGCAAGGCCAGCTGGCTGAAAGAAAGCTAGGAAATGCATATTTGACTTTTGGGAACCATTTTAACAACAAACCGATTAACTGGAAAATATATGGGTCTATTTTAATATTGCAGGAAATACCAATAACCCTAATTGACTCTTTTTTTTTTTTTCTCTCTGCTTCAGTTGATAAACACCCACCAAAAACATACACACTATTTAACTTTAGGTCAATTTTTCTGCTCTTCCAGGGGAAGTGTAGTGAATTTTACCTACTACTTTACAGTAGAAATACAAAAATATATCCTGAATTTGCTGAAAAGGCTGCAGTGGAGCAGCCTTGCTGCTGCTGATTGGTCAGTTAGAGAAACTGATGGTACAAACCTGGAAAATGAAAGGCAATAATAATGTGCTTGAAGTTCTTTGATGGCGGTACTGGGTTAGAAACCAGTAGAAAATGGATCAGCTTCATCACATTCCTGTTTATGCATCAAATAATACATCCATTAACTTTACAGGATTTTTATAGCTGCACTTTCAGGAAAA